CATTTCATTTCTGACAGAAGTAACTGTGACTTATTAAATGAATTCCTCCAATGAATGAGTGGAATAAGTGCGTCAGAGTAGAGGGTGAGGATGCCCTGAGGTCAAACTGAGCTAAAGGTTTGAGAGATCCTATGCTTTGGCACAAGGACTGTGCATCTGAGGCAGGAGAGGGACTGCTTCTCCAGGCTGTGTTTTGGGTGAACACAGGGCAGAGTTTCAGCTGATCCGAGGCAAAATGTCATCAAAACAAGAAATAAACCTTTGCGGTTCTAATGGACTTATTACTGTCTCTTAACCTTGCAAAAGCAGATGGATGTATACTCACTTGCGGAGGAAGTTCAGAGCTTACTCTCTCACTGATGATGTCGTCTTCAAGGATCCAGGCTTCCTACTGGTCTCAGTTCCTGTTCCCATCTTGGTTGACCCCAAAGCCTTGTCTCTTCTAAGGGAAATTCATCAATAAATGGCAGGCACTGTGAATGTCCAGCACATGTTCACCTCTCCCTTTGCATGTACTTCTCAGCCCATGGCTCTTGAATAAGTCCCCCTGATTAGTAACATTCAATCAAATATGAAAGAAGTGCTATGTATCACTTTTAAGCCACAGTAGAGAGCCCTCTCTCTTGTCTAGTTTGCTCACCATGGAGGAGGTCTTGTGCTTTGATATGCAGCCATGAATGGAAGAGTAGATCACTTGAATGGAGGAGAGTTGCCTACAGAAGCCATCCTTTTGTAGAAATGAGAAACAACCTTTCCTGTCAAGCCCTGTACATTTTGGAATTGCTCTTTTATTGCAGCAAAGCCTGAAGGAAATGGATGTGACTTATTTCTACCCCTGAGAGAGGCTCAGGGACTTGCAATATGAATGAAGGATTGTATTACTTTCCAGAAAGAAGGGAGCAAGTAATCTAAGTACTCAAGCAACCTGCCCAAAGAGAACTAGAAAGCTCTGTGGCAGCCTGAGAGACAGGAGCAAGGAAAAGGCATTTCTGGAAATTTGTATCTGCATTGTATCTCTCATGCAGCTTTTGGAGTCTATGATTATCTTTGTGTATTTTAAGGCATGCCAAGTTGAGAAGTGGCTCTTAAAATTTCCTGACTTCTTGGTGCTTTGGGGAACAGGGTGGAAGCCATGAACACACTCTTGGAGGAACATACTCTTAACTCTGGGCTCATAAAATTCTCACAGCTACATCTTGGGCAAATAGAAATCTAAAGTACATTTTTTTAAAAAGCAGTAAATAAGCCACAATAAGATTCAATAGAAATGATGAGAAGACAATTATGCTTCGATGGGCTCAGATATTAGAATTTTTAGAATATAAAATCAGTAGACTTAAAGCATTTGAATAAATATGAGAGGTAATTAGATACCTGAACAATGAGGAGAAAAATATTTTAAAAATAGGGGTTTTGACAAAAAAATCTATTAGAACTCAAGAAGAACAATGAATTGGAGGGTGGGTAGCTAGAGAAATACCAATAAGTTGACTCAGATGAAGAGATGAAAAATATGAAGAAGTGACTAAGGGACTCGGAGGAGAGAGCGACATGACTGTCAGAATTCCAGAAGACAAAAATATCAAGAGTTGACAAGTTTGATATTGAAAGAGTTAATGGCTAAGAATTTTCTAGAACCGCTGAAAAATATTAATCCTTAGCTTCAAACACTCAACATCAAATGGTTTGAAAGTGAATACTATCACAAACATTAAAGTGCAATTATAAAACACCATTAAGAAAGACAAAATATCAAAAGTAAAGAAAAAAGTCAAATTATTTACACAGGAATGACAAAACGCATAACAGAAAACTTCTCAGGAGAGGGCCGGGGATTTAGCTCAGTGGTGCTGCCGTCTGCCTCACAAGCTGCAAGGTCCTGAGTTTGATCCCCAGTACCAAAGAAAGAAAGAAAGAAAGAAAGAAAGAAAGAAAGAAAGAAAGAAAGAAAACTTCTCAGGAGCAAAAATATAGGCTGAAGAATGCAGAATAATAGCTTCACTGTGCTGAGAGGATAGAATTGCCTGTCCTGTTATTATTCAATGATAAGGGGCAGTCAAATTGTGTTAGAAAGAAAATGAGCAATTTTTATCGTTGGTTCTCACTAAAGAAAATCTAAAATGCATTCTCTAAGCAGAAGGAAAAGGCTTAAAATGCAGAGAGGAAGATGAAGAAAACAGCTGACAAGCAGTTAGGTAAGTGAAGTGAACCTTGGCTCTGTAGTAATGATGCCTCATGGAAGAAATTTCAAAGAACTAAACGATGGAACAATAAAACCAGATAGAGTGAGAAGGGTGATGGGAGCTAAAAAAGTATTCTGAGGCTGAGTTGCTTGGAAGCAGCCAGTGATAGCAACTAATCTTAAATTCTATTCATTGAAATTTAGTAGCTTCTAGGGCCAGGGATTTAGCTCAGTGGCACCATGCTTGCCTTGCAAACAAATGCAAGGTCCTAAGTTTGATCCCCAGTACAAAAAAAAAGAAGAAGAAAGAAAGAAATTTAGTAGCTTCTAAGCTTATGTCTCCAGCTTTAATCTCTCCATTAACTCAATATTAATCTATCCAGTTGTATGTTTGCCAAGCCCCTATCTAATAAGCATCTAAAATGTTATTATTTTTTCCTGCTTACACTTGAGTGTTGATTGCGTGCCAGGAACTATCTTAGGTTCTGGAGATAGAACAATTAATAAGACAATGAAGGGAGGGCAGGAGAATGGGGGGTGGGGTGGGGAGAATCAAGGTAGATTATGTAAAGGTGCGAATTCCCAATAACGAATGTCATTATATTGTATACCTAAAATGTACCAATAAAATTAAAATATACAAAATAAAATATTTAGATATTTGAAATAAAGTCTCTTCTTCCATGGGTTTTCATGGCAAGACATTAAAAAAGAAATAAAACTATAATGTGGCACATGGTAAATGCTATGAAAGAGAATAAAGCAGGATAAGAGACAGAGACTGGTTTGAGAGTGCAGTGATGCACTGGGTGATTGGAAGCCTTCTGCAGACAGGGGAAAGAACATTCCAGTGAGATGACAGCAGAGGAGCAGCCTTCAGGAAGCAGCAAAGTGTGCAAATAAATGTTAAAAAGAAGTCCATGCAGATCAGTCCTACCAATAAATATACATGGACTACACTCACCAGTTCAAAAATAGAGATTGTGAAACTGAATTTTAAAGTAATGCATTTATGTGCTGTTTTGAAGAGGTCACAGGATATATGAAGGGTACAAAAGAATAACAGAATAGGATGCAAGGAATGTCAACTTTAGTAGTAACAGACAAATTATGTGTTAAAGGCAAAACCAAAAACAAGACATTTATCATAATACTAATTACATGAGACTAAAAGAAAGGAAAAACAAACCCCCAAACTGACAAAGCCACCCCAGTGCAACTATTTGAGAACACACCACAAATGCGTAAGGAAATGACTCGCAGCCGGTACATTTGGATTATATGGCGACTGTGTTTGGGGGTAAAAGCTGTGAAGTACATAAAAATGATTTCCATGTTACTGATGAGTTTTTAAATATTTTAAGCTGGAAGGAGGGTTTGTATGTTTGACATAATTTCATGATATGTGTTTCATGTTAAAAATAGTTCATAATGATAAAAATTCTCCCTCAAGTCACACTCGATTGTAAGACCTCTAGAAAATGGACTTGAATAAACCTGTTTGAAACGATCTCTTTATACAAGAGATAAAGTACACGGTAGGCATTTGATGAGCTGCATCAAAATTTTTCTATAAAAAGAGGGAGAAGAGAGAGAGGGAGATAGAGAAAGGAAATAGTAGTTGCTTCCCACACTCCTCAAAGCAAGGGCACTCCCCTTTCTTCTCTTTGTATACTTTTATTGCAGTTCTTGCCTGCTTTATTCACATTCACAGGGAGCCCCTTCAGGAAGTCATAGCCAGTATTCTTTGTGTTACTGTTCCCGGCAGCCTTGTGTCCAGCGTGTAATGGACACTCAGTCACCATGTGGAGAATGCTGGAAACATGCTGGTGGTTTTGAAATAAAATATGGACAAATCATATAAACATTACAAGTACGAATATCAATTTCAGCTCTCTCTTTGGGAACTACTCAAACAGGATACTCTTTACTACCACTACTTGAACAGCTCAATTTCGTGTTGCCGTATGCATTTGAGTTACAGCAGTGCTTCGGTATTACACCTGTTCTCTCACTTTAGAAGTATTTCACTTGTTGCTACTTCTGTTTATGCCACTCACGTGGGTAATGTAAGGCAAAAATGACCCAAAGTTAAGTGGTGTCAACGGTACACTTTTCTCTGTCCCCTCCCCCCGCAGGGATTGAACCCAGGGCCTTGGCACCAAGCTTCATTCTGGCCTCTTCTTGCTTTTTTTTTTTTTTTTTGGTACCGGGGATTGAACTCGGATCCTTCCGCTTGTAAGGCAGGCGGCGGAACCACTGAGCTAAATCTCCGGCCCCCTCTTCTTGCTTTTTGAGACAAGGTCTCCCTAAGCCAAAATTGCCTAGGCTGGATTTGAACCTGCCATCTACTTGCCTCAGCCTCCAGGAGAGCTGAGCCCACTATACCCAGCTTATTCTTCTACACGTTTATAAGGAAAATCCGGGCTGTTCGCTTTTCTTTCTTGTTCATCTCCTCCCTAGCGTTTGAAGGGATGAGGTTAGGATTAGACAGAGAATTTTAGGAAACTCCAGGTAGCAGTGCCAAATCCTTGATTTCCCAGGTTTATTCTCAGGGTAGGAAGCGCTGGCACTGACAGCTGCTCCAGAAGAACACTCAGGTACTGACAACCGTGTACCCTTAGGGAGCCAGGCTGGGCGCTCCTTCGCCCACCCGCTGGGGCAGTGCTGCTCCCCAGCCGCCCCGCTGCCTTCCTTCCCCGACTCCCTCGGGTCTGCACCTAGGCGGCCCAGCGCACGGATCGCAGCCAGGAGGTGGGCGGCGACCCGTAGCTCCAGTCTCTGCTCGCGCGCTGTGACTTCCGGGGGTCACCCTGGAGGCCCACAGGGGGCGCAGACTTGAGCGGGGTTGAGTCTTCGCTATCTCTCAGAAGCAGCCTAGGTCCGGAACTCCAGGCTCTGCCCACCACCAGGAAGCACAGAGAGCGAGAGCGTCCACCCTGTGCACTACGGACCCGGAACCCCGGCAGAAACTGGGAGGGAGCTGGCGGTGCGGCTCGTCGGGGAGGCGGCGTACGCGGGAAGCGGGCCGAGCCCTCCTCAGCGGCCGGGGAGTGCGCTGCTCAGCGCCGCGCAGAGCCTGGAGCGCGGCGGCTGGGGGAGGCCGGGAGCAACAGGTAAGGCCACGGTAGGGCGCAGGGAGGGCTCTGTCCGTCGTCTTGGAGGCAGCCAGCTAGTCCTTGCGCTTTGTGACCACGCAGAAGTTAAAGGCGGCTAGGAGGGACCTCTGTGCACTGGCCACCGCTGCCCCACCAGGAAAGCCCGGCAGCGGGCTTGCGTCTCCGAATCCTTTCGGCAAGGCCTGGCAGAAGGACAGAGCCGCCGGACACGGACCTGAGCGCAGCCGCCAGGCACCGACCCGGACTTGCCCACCCATCCGGGAAAGCTCTCGCTGAAGACTCGAGCGCCAGGTGACTGGGAGCTCGGCAATCCCGGCGCTTGCTTGCCCGGACAGACACTCCTCCAGCGCGCTCCGCTGCCCTGGGCTGGGGCGCCCGCGTGGGTGATGGAGCTGGCGGCCGCAAACCTCAGCGCTGGGAACGGGAGCGGACAGAGCCCCCTTGCCGCCGAGCCGTGGCCGCTCTTCGGCATCGGTGTGGATAACTTCATCACACTGGTGGTGTTTGCTTTGATCTTCATCTTGGGCGTGCTGGGCAACAGCCTGGTGATCACAGTGCTGGCTCGCAGCAAGCCCGGCCAGCCGCGCAGCACCACCAACCTGTTCATCCTCAACCTGAGCGTCGCCGACCTGGCCTACCTGCTTTTCTGCATCCCCTTCCAGGCCACGGTGTACGCGCTGCCCACCTGGGTGCTGGGCGCCTTCGTCTGCAAGTTCACGCACTACGTATTCACGGTGTCCATGCTGGTCAGCATCTTCACTCTGGCTGCGATGTCCGTGGACCGCTATGTGGCCATCGTCCACTCGCGGCGCTCCTCCTCCCTCAGGGTGTCCCGCAACGCGCTCCTGGGCGTGGGCTTCATCTGGGCGCTGTCCATCGTCATGGCCTCGCCCGTGGCCTACCACCAGCGCCTCTTCCACAGGGATGTCAGCAACCAGACCTTCTGCTGGGAGCAGTGGCCCAACCCGAGCCACAAGAAGGCCTACGTGGTGTGCACCTTCGTCTTCGGCTACCTGCTGCCTCTTCTGCTCATCTGCTTTTGTTATGCCAAGGTGGGCGCTGAGCGCGCGCTGTCTCCGGGAGGGCGGAGGGGAGAGGGGGCAGCTGGTCCCACATCCTGTCCCCGTGTCCCTGGCCGAGTCTCCCTGCACCCCTCCCCTTGCCCTGTCCCCCACGTCGTGTTCGTGTTCGTGTGAGAGATGTGTGTTAGGATCCTCTCCACTCCAGTTTGCTCTCCTGCTTGCATGATTGCTGTGGCTGGCGCGGGAAACTTCCTTGGAGTTTGAGAGAGGCTGGGGAAAGTTTGCCATTCGCACCAGCCGTCCCGCAGAACCGCTTCTCCTCCTCTGGGTTACTTGCTTTGCTGCCCTCCACGCCCTGCAGGTGCTGGGGCGGCGTGCGTGCGCTATGCGCCTGCTCCTCCGAGGGCGAGGGCGAGTCCCGGGCTCGGTTTCAGCGGCTCACAAATCGGATCCGCGGGCACATGGAAGTTAATTCCCTGCGGTGGTGGGAGCTGCCCGCGCGCGGTCGGATGCTCTTGGTCGCGACTCTCAGCTGGGACCTGCAGGGGCTTCTGCAGTGAGCCCTTAACGCCCTGGCTTTGCGGAAACCAGCCTTCTGCGCGGTGAACAGCGCTTCGGATTTTACTTTAAACCGGGCTAGCTTTCTAAACCCAAGTAGGAAAAGGTCATTTCTTCACAGAAGTTTGATGGGAGTCCCCAAACAACTATGGGCAGGAGGGAGTGGAGCCACGGTGTTTCCCCGTTCTGGTCCTTTTAAAGACAGAGCCTGGCAACAGCGCTGGGGGGTTTAGGTGTGGAGCTCCCACGGGACTCCCTGCTGATTCCCGAGCTCCAGGACGGCCTTGCCTTGCTGGGAGCTGGTCCTCATCTTGCTGCCGGGGAGCCCCCCTTTCTCATTAATTGCACAAGATTTGAAAAGTTTATACCCATCAAAACGCCTCAAACCTCGGGTACAACTTGTTTATGTTTGAGTAGCTAAACTTAATGTTTAGTAGTCATACGATGGGAGTTCTTGGGGGAAAGTCTAGTGTGCACATCTTCCCCTCAGGAAACCATCACCATAAGAAAAACCCCTCAGAAGCCGAATTCTGAAGCTTCTTTAATTTCATCTCTCCCTGTCTCTCATTTTGTTCTTGATAAGGTTGTGACTACAAGATCATATTTCTTATTTTCTATTCCTAAGGTGTTTTCCCAGAAAAAATGTTTAGAATAAACCAGATGCTCCTGCCCCATTTATACCATCTGTGCAGATTATGTCTGTTTTGAGTGGTTCTATTTTTGGATATTATCTGAAAGAATAGACCAGGCCAAAATGTATGCATAAGGAAATACAGTCAAAGTATGGGTTTTGGAAAATAACTCCATTTTAGCTATTTAAAAATGGCTTGTTTAATCATCTAGTCACTTGCAAATAAAAAATTAAGGCAGATGATTAAACGTTAGAACTGAAGCACATGTTTTTTTTCCATTTTTCCAAAGTCTTTAGGAAAATCACTTTAATTTTCATGGAAATGGCCGGGTAAACTTTTAGGACTGAATCAGGCTATCTTTCTATTATTTAACAGTTTATAAAAGTCATACAGAGGGCAGGGGATTTAACTCAGTGGTTCCGGCACCTGCCTTGCAAGGGAAAGGTCTCAAGTTTGATCCCAGATACCAAATAAACCAAACAAACAAATAAACAAACAAAAGTCATACAGAGTGCAAAGTTTAAAATAGATTTTTAGAATTTAATGAATAGATGGTCATTTGGATATTTTTGTATTGAAATAGCTTGTTTCTAAGATCAACTGCAAAAATCTTTTACATCTGAAGTAGTAATTGAAAATTAATTTCAGAGTGGGACTAGCAGGAGATAAGTTATTCTGAGTTGCTATTTTGTTTTTATTTTTATTTTTTGGCTCAGCTATTAAGTATACACTAGACAGTTAAGGACATTAATTTTTGAGTATTAGGTCTAGGACTGGCTGTTTGTCCAATGACCAAGTCTGGTGGTCAGTCAACATGAAGAATCCCAGATGGCTAACAAGGCACCTGAGATTAAAATGTGTGGATTTTTCTCCTTTCTTGGAGAAATTTAACCAGGGAACTACATGTTATAGTTTCCCTCTGCAGCAGTGTTTAGCAGTGTTTAGCTCTTTGCAGATGACAGTCTCTGGGGAACACAGAGGGCTGGAGAACAAACGTCAGTTGCTGGCTCAGTGCCCCTGAAGATGCCTCCCCTCTGGTTCTGTGTTGCCCACTTCTTGCTCCCCTTAATTGCTGCACAGAACCCATCTTCGTCTAACAAGGGAATAAACTCCTGATGTGCCCACCCACCACATTCTTCCACAGGATGTGCCCAGCATGACCTTGGCATGGGTTTGAGAAAGAACCTTCCCCCAAACACTTGGAAATGTATAGAATGGTGGGGAAATGCCACCATACCATCACCCTTAGGGAGACGGAGTCATAAACTATTGTGATACCCACCTTCTTTCTCCTGTGTATCATTGTGTGCTTATTGTATGAGCTATTGAAGAGAAATGGGGCTCAGAAAAATATTATTAGGGATGTTCTGCATTAACCATTTGAAGAATGAAGAAAACATTCAGCATTCCTAGGTGTTCGGAAGTTGCTGAGTGATGACCTGATTTACTATGGTGATGGTGGCTGTGGACCCCCTGTACCAATGTGAAACAGACCGCCTGTGCAGGTGTCCCTTGCCCTGTGATCACTGTCATCCTGTGGTCTCACCTGCAGGGCAGGCTGCTGCCAGTCAGCTGGACAGCCCTGTCTTCTTGGGCAGGGTCCTGCCTCTAGCCTCTGTATCTCACTTTTAAGGCTTTCTCACTTGTAGCTGTAAAAGGCTCCTCTCGTCTCTTTGCTTTACATCCAGCTTTTGGACCTCAGTTTTGGTTGGCAACACAGTAACCCACTGTCAATGTATTGGTTATCCCAAATGTTCTCATAGCCAGTAAAGACTGGGTTGCATTTCAGGAAGTGACAAGTGTTTTAACAGGGCAGAGGATCTGAAGTTAGAAATCCATACTCTGAAGAAAGCTGCTGAAGCTACATAGGGTTTAGAGAGTTGGTAAATAAATCTGTGGCTCCTCAATTAGGACGTGACTGACTGCCCCATAAGTGCTGCTTCTAGCCAAAGGGAGCAGGCTTCTGCAATAAGGCCAATTCAATTAAATTATTTCTGTGTTGTAGTGCTGGAGGGTAACAGAAGTGGCTGGTGTGCACCTCCACTTCTCCAGGAGAGCCCCCAGCAGTCCACAGCCAAACTAAAGCCCTTAGTCATCTAGATGCTGAATTGGCTCCCAGTTTTCTCATAAAGGGCAGAGAAAAATGAACTCTGGTGCCAGTCCTGCAGGGTTGGCATCCTCAGTCAAGTCTAGGTTGGAAATTCTTATACATAACCAAATCATTTCATATCATTTCTCCTGAATATTATACTGGTAAGAGAAGACAAAACAGTTTCTGAACTTAATGAAGCCAGTGTATCTCAGGGAGATACCCTGACAGGGTCATCGATTGTAAAGCCCTGCGAAATGCTTTACAAAGCATCAGAGATGCTGAATTCTCGAAAAGTAAGTTGTCTAAAAGCACATCACAGTGGGATTTGAATAACAAACAAAAGGAGGCTTGATGGTGAGTAATTTGCTTTATGGAGATTTCAAGTGGCAAGAGCTCATAAAAGGAACAGAGAAAGAATATGTGCATGCAAATGTTGCCATGATTGGGGCTGACCACACTGAAGAAATAGCTGATCCAATCACCTTAATTTAATTTGTTCACCTGCCTTTCCCCATTGGGAAGCAAACTCCCAGAGTGCTGGTTTCAATCTATCTAATATCTGATATTGTGCCTGATGCATAGCAGCGAACAGGTAATTGTTGACACATAGACTCCTGGAGGAAACTGAGGTAGAAGATAGATCAATAGCATGCAAAAGGGTCCCAGGATTTCTTTAAATGGTAGCAAAGCAAACATATTAAGCAATTTAGACTTTCTTACTTCTTACTTCATTTACTTACTTCATCTACTTCCCATTTTAGTGATTATACAGTAATGTTATTATTTCAGCATGTCAGTAATTTTCAGGGCAAAACTGGCAATGGGTTGTGGGATGCAAACTGAGATTTCATTGGTGTATGTTTTGCAGGTTCTTAATCATTTGCATAAAAAGTTGAAGAACATGTCCAAGAAGTCAGAAACATCAAAGAAAAAGGTAACATTCACAAACAATTGTTGTGTCTGACCTTTTCGAGAGCTTAGTTTATTTTTGTTTTAAATTATCTTTACATCTTCCCAAAGGCTATAAAAATCTTGATTCCTTCAGACAGATATTTGCAGGACTTGTTACTGCTAGGATGGAGAGGAGTGAATGAGGGGCTTGAGAAGGGTGGCCTGCATTCAAATGTAGGAGGAAGTAGGGAGGCAAGTAAAGGTAGGCTTTGGATTTTGCAAATTACTGACTTTTATTTGCATAAAAGTATAGTCATCTTACTTCATTTTTACCATCTCTCTTGCGATTCCGAAAGGTCTGGTTTAATTCCCATTGAGAGAGCATTGGTATAATTACTCCCTAAAGACTCAAGAGCCTTTCATTGTTCTTGACTCTTCCCCTGGGCATATGCAGGCGCTGGCCTAGAGGGAAGAAGAGGAAAGATTGCAAGGGAACCTAATCACCTTTAATCCTCTTTATCACCCAGTGATGCCTGATTTCAGCAGGCTTATCCTGAGTAATACTAAAGCATCCAGCTGTCGGGATATTCATTACCTTTTACCTATTGAGAAAAAACTATTTCACACATCAGGATTAATTCAATTCATATTCAGATCAGATCGATATAATTTCTGATTTTAGACAGTGGAATGAAGTTATTAGATAATCTGATGAGGGAGGAAAAGATTATGACCAAGGTTTTAACCTATAAACATCACTAATAATTTAATAGCTTGTTTTTCCTTCTAAGTAATTATTATGATCATTGACATATGTAATTTGCAGAAATTATAATTTAATCACATTTACTCTAAAAAATTCTACTCGAGTAAAAGATAGTTCTTCCTGACTTTCCTGTTTGTAAACCACAATGTGGCTAAAACCTGCCTCTTTCTGGGAGTTGATAACCAACGGCAGAAAATTGGTTCGAAAGCACAATTTTAAGTTTGTAGGCCCCTCTTCAGGACATCTAACAAAGTTAGCTGTTGAATTACGTGAATGGAATAGAGCCCAAAGCTGATCTCCTCCTGTTTTCAATGAGGCACTGTTATACTGTAGCTTTTACATTTTTCAGCCCATTAGAAAGCCTTTTGAACCACAGTTCTCATTTCTAAGAAAATGAGTCATTAAAAACAATTAAAGATTATTTACAATTTTCCCTTGGACAGTTGTTTATAGAGTACCTACCCTGTGCAGGACTGAGCCGACCCACAGGATTATAAAAGGAACTGGCTGCATTTGGAAGCCAACACTGTAGTAGAAGAGAAATACCTGAATCCCAAAGCACTGTTCAATTGGAAGCCAGGGAGGGAAAGACTAATTTCCTTTGGGAGGGAGCAGGCTCGCTGGATTTTAACAGAGATGACACCATTGCTAAACGTTTATTATTGATTTAAAAGATTTTATGGTTACTGAAAGAATGCAATGATTTTTTTTTAATATTAAGTGGATTACATTTGTATCCATGGTTATTTTATTCTCTATATTTGAGAAGTGTTAGAGAGAAACTGTAAAGTTCCTAGAGAAAAGCAAAATGGTTAAAAGAAAGGAAACAAATTTTATAAGCAATGATTAGAAAAGCTATTTTATTTTACAATAAAAATGTAAATTTAGTAATTTAACAACTGCTTTGAATATAAGCATATATGTGTGAAATATATATTTATATAAAGCTATCTTTTGTTCATTCTTACTGTAGTAGAAAGAAGGTATTAGCATTTGAAAAAGAGAAGAAAATTTACCTTATTTTCTCACAGTCTCTGGCCCTTATTCACTACTGAACAGGTGTTAGTTCTCTTTTGATATATTTAATTTCCTTTTTGTTTACATAAGACAAATAAATGTGGCAGTGGTAGGGCACAAGTGTGTCTAAGAAAGAGATAAGAGAGATGCAGGGGAGGGGTATGAAAAGGGAGTGGAAAGAGAGAAAAGAGGAAATGAGGAGAAGGAAGAGGAGGTAGAGGTGGGAGGAAAGAGAAAGCAGAGAAAGGAAAGAGAGATGTAGAGAAGAAAGCAGAATAGATGGTCAGTTCCCGTGACGATGGATGCTGATCTGTTGTGAGCTTTGTTCCCAGATCTTAGCACAGGCATTGCTGCCCATGATCGCAATGTGTGGTGGCTAGTGGATCAGTGTCCTAGGGGCTTTGGTAGAGAATGGGCTGATGGGATATAGTTTTTGATGGATAACAGACTGATAGGATATAGATTATGATAGTTTGCTCTTTTTTACTTTGTTTCTTGGCCTTCTTCTCAAGAGCTAAGTACAGTTTCCTTTCTCTGCACTGTCATCATCTGTTCAGACTGCCATAACAAAGTGATACACACTGGGTGGCTTGTAAAAAAATGGAAGTTTATCTTCTGTGGTTCTGGACACTGGAAATCCAAGATCAAGTGCCAACAGATTCGAGATCTATCTTGGCTCATAGATACTGCCTTCCCTCTATGTCCTTACAAGTAGGAGGAGTCAGGCAGCTCTCTGGGGCTTTTTTACAGAAACACCAATCCCATTCATGAAGGATCAATGCCATGACCTAATCACCTTCCAGTGGCTCCATCTCTTAATCCCATTATCATGATAATTAGTTGTCAATGTGTGATTGCAGAGGGTGGACACAGACATTCATACCATGTCAGTATCAGGTGAGATTTATGACTCTTACGAAGTGGAGAGTTCACCTTTCCATGATAAACATGTTGAACGGTTATCCTATGTGTTTGGAGGAAAATGCAAAAGAGGATGTGATTTTTATTACAGAAATAATAGTATACAGCCTTATAACTGATTCAATATTTTGATTTAAGCTTTACTAGATACAAAACTGTGTTTCTGAAATGAGGCTCATGGGATACTAAAATAAATTCTTGTGTAATGTGTGGAAGGCTTCAGAATTTGATGGGCAGTGAGCTGGATGGATGCTTTGAGGAGATGATCTGGATCAAGGACTATCTCCATGTTGGATTAACCATTGGGTTTTTCACTAGGTGCTTTTTGGGTAGTTTTTACTTTCTATTTCTCTGATTTGAAATAGTTCTATAGCTTTTTGGCTGTCATTTATACAAATTTTTCAGTGCTTTTCATCGTTCTCATCTTCTAGTCACCCTTTTATTCCCAGCCTATTTTCACTACTCACATTGTGAGTGAGACTCTTTGAAGAAAGGACAGATGTTTCAAATGGGAGCAAAGGGAAAGATGTCTTAAATGGCTTGAAAAAGAGCATCCCATGATCAGAAGAGTATTTTTCAGATACTCTCAGTTTAAGGAACAAAAAGAAACCACCCTAATAAAGAATCTAATCTTGTGTAGTAAATATTAGTATACAGCTTTAATGACTTTTTCCTCTATCTGCAGGTAGTATTGGGATTCTATGCTTTAAATAGATGCATGAGGTTAATTGTTCATACACCGCCTGTAACTCCAGCTCCTGTAGAGGCAAATGATCCTGTAAGAAATGAAAACAAGTCTACCTCATTTTCACACAGGGAAGTCTCTGTGTTACATTCCCATTTCAGAGGGAAAGAAGGGAAGTAGATTTTCTTGCTTCTTCTGACAATGGGCTGCTTCAGCCTTGGAGGTTGTTGGTATTGAATAAAACATCTCTTTGATTCTCTTTAAGTTGAGGTGGGTGAAGTAATTTCTCTTTTGTTGTGGATTTTGTACAATTCATGAGTGCTTCTCCAAACATCCTCCTGAGCTTATTAAAAAGGCAGGCTCCCAGGTAAATATCCAAATCCATAAGGAATGGGATGAAGCCTAGAGCTCTGTACTGGGTAGTCATGGGCATACTGACCTCCCAGAAGCCCAGGGTTGAAATCAGGGTACATTCTGACCACATCTTCAACTCTGAGCTAGTGCATTCTAGACATAGTGTGATCTGAGTTGGACATGATGAAATGGTGAATCAAGAAGGCTGTTTTCCTACTGGCATGGAACTTCTTCTTCCTGCCCTGCTTCCCATCTTCTCAGTTCTGCCAGCATCTGTTCCAAGGCAAGAAGGAAGATCAGACTCATTTGGTATTTCCAGCCATGCACATATTTGGCTCCTGATGTTGCCATGTCTGAAGCAGCAGCCTCAGCACAAGGCCAGTGTCCAGGGTGCTGATTGATAAACCAGGGAAGAGAACACAAACTCCAGTGGGCTGAGACCTTGGATGAGAAGTGCAGAGGACAGGAAACCTCAGCTGAGAGCAAAGTTCTCTATTAAGCTCTTAGGAGTGATCTTAGGTAAATAATAGTTTATATAAATACCCATTTGGTATTGTATCCCAGTATTTATATTATAAATTGTAATCCAGTCACAGTTCAAAGCTACCAGTAGACCAAGAAAAAGAAATGACTCTTGCCCAGATTTCTTGTCCAAATTTTGAATGAATTATAAACACTCAGAGGAACAAATACTGCCATAGAAAATATTCCATAGTCAGGGCAGCTAGCTATTCATTTGCCCTATGGGTTTTGATAAGATATGGATCTTATCAATCAGCTGCTGAAGTCTGAACACAATTGTGCTTAGTAAACATATCCCACAAGAAGCAGTGATATGTAATGGTGTTTGGGTGATTATTTTGTGAAATGGAGATATGGTCTGATTGTCTTCAAAAGAAAAGGGGAGCTTTTCTGTTTTATTAGTGGACATAATCGTATCTAGATTGTTTGATTAAATCATCTGAGACTATTTCTCACACACTAATGGATAAATGGATCAGCTGCAAACACTCCCTTCATATAGGTGAGCAAATTACCTGTTTGCTTTGTGTGTCATGTGATAAGCAGCTTTAATACGTAAGCGTTTACCTTGTAACACCTGTCAACAGATTTTTACACCTCAGTTGTTTCAGTGGTTATATGGATGAGGCCCAGTCTGGGAATCATTTCCCTGTTTTTTCTCTTTACAGATGAAGTGCAAGGATGGACAGCCAGTGTATGGCCCAGACTTGCTGTCAGTTCCGTGGTCTTGCACAGCCCATGGTGCCTGTAGATAGAGAGCTTAGCTCTCATATCCTGAGGCTCCTGACTGCTGGCATTTGCTGGCCTTGACCTGAAATCTAACCTTCCTCTCCATTTCTGCCTGGACCCTGTTCCTGGCTTCCAATCTACAGTTTTGATAAATATCTACTTAGGTCTTAATAACTAGGATCAGTCCTGAAAAGGTTAGTATCTCACATATTAAATCCTCAGTATCATCTTCAAGAAGAGTAGGATCCCCACTCATGAGAAGTAGTAAGAAAACCCTCTTGCCCTTCAGGAATGTGCCCCTCATTCTTGAGCTGTGTGGAGCTGTGATCTCTTTCTCCTCTTTCTTTGACTAATGGTAGTCCTGCAGAGCATGAGGTCTTTGTGTTTTACATGGAAGGATTTGTGTCTTAATAGTGATTTTTAAAAGTTTTTGTATTGAGGATTGAACCTAAGCCTCATACTGAGCTACATGCCCAGCCACACTCCACTGTTTATTTTTTTATTTTGAGATAGGGTCTTGCTAAGTTGCCGGATTTCCCAGTCTGGACTTGAACTTGCAATCCTCCTGCCTCAGCTGCCCAGAATTCTGGGGTTATAGGTGTTTTAGGTGTGTTTTAACTGTGATGTCTTACTCATGCCCAGCTTTGACAGTGATGTCTTAGTCATGGAGCCATTTTCCCGTGTCTTATTCTACCTTCAGTATGAGAAAAATAAGCCTCTATATGTTTTCATCTTTCTTCTTTCAAAAACCTGCTAACTTTCCTTCCTGTTCATACCTTTTGGTCAGATTGCAAAAGAACAACAGACTGACAGCCATCAGTCAGGTCAAGCTTGTGATGCACTTCAGCACCCTGACTGGAACGTCAGGGCTTCGTGCCTTCTAGGTCTGTGAAGTAGGTAGCGATGCCCAGAGGGACGCAGTAATGCTATCAGCTCAAACTTCCGCTTTCCACTGGAAGTGTCCAAGTGTATTCTACAGTATGGCACCTTGGACTGTGTCTGAGGGAAAGCAAGAGGTCGCTTGATTTCCAGCCCTGGGACAAGGGCTGGAAGCCAGAGCTTGCTCGTCTCATCAAGTTGGAGAAGTGACACAAATATTCTCTTATGAAGGCCTTTGTCCCCCAGATGCTTAAGGAGCCCTGTGCAGCAGAGAGGGAGATATAGTTGATGGTGCCCAGGTAGGGTTGTGAGCCTCTCTTTGCGAAGCTCTCAGCATTTCTGAACGTGGATTTGGGAGCATGCAGACCTAGCCTTCACCTCTAACTTTGAATTCTACTGTGGGGAATCATGCAGCTGTCTTAATTCTTCTGAGTCTCAGTTTCCATGTTTACAACCCATGGGTCCCCCTAGGGTTTACTTCACAGGGCTGTGGAGGGGACCCAGCAATGTAGTGCATGCAGCCAGTGCTCAGCCAGTGTTGGATGACAGGCTAGCTGTACGGGTTCTGCTGTGAACAGCAAGACGCAGCATGGTTCTGGAGCTGTATCTCTTTAAGGAAGGAGCTCACTGGTTGCTTTGTATTTTACAGTTCACAAATACTAGATTCTTTGAATTGAGGCATTTAAATAAGATACACTATTGTCTTCTGTTTGAATCCATAGAGATCATTTTTAATAATCACAATTAGCTGTTGCTTTTCAACAGATACTGGATAGGGAAGTCCTTCAGAGGCTGAGTCCCAGACTTCTGGGTTTGTGGCCAGTTGGGGTCCATGTTCATGTACACAACACACAGGGCTTCAGCAGAGGAAGCTCATATCCTCTTATACTGAGGTTGTTAAACAGGGACAACTTCCTCCTAGCTCAGGAGGAATTGAAAAGGGAACACTTGGATCCTGTCTCAGATTTCCAAGTACTTCTGATTTAGGAGCAGTATGGGGAGGGCTAAGATAAAAGCCAGGGAGAAAATTGGCCAAGTGGTCCATAGGCTATAACTGGAATGCCTCAGTGCATTAATTAATGTGGTCTTTAATTTACTGAAGTTTAATGAGGAGAAATAAACATTTTCATACTTGTGCATGTAAATAACTATTGGGAACAAAGTTCAACGCTCATCTGAGCTACCACAGTGATACAGCTTAGTGTGTGCACATTTGAAGAGTTTTGCTGGTATAAAAGTTAAGAGATTTAACATTTGTACATTTCTATTTCCATGATCTAGAGCAGCGGTGGCAAACCTGTGGCACATATGTTATTTGTTTTTCTTTTAAGACAAAAGATGTTAATGCATAAGTTGTTTTTTCTTCTAAACTAAAACCTCAGTATTCATGTTTAATTTCAGTGTTGGCACTTTGTGATAAGTGGGTTTCAGGGTTGCAGTTTGGGCACTTGTCTCTAAAGGGTTTGCCATCACTGTTCTAGAGCATGCTTCTTATAACGCATTTCATACACATCGTAGAATTGTTGCTGTGGAAGGTAATGACCAATCTTGAAGAATTTTTACAAATGGAAATATCCTATGAAGTGAAAGTTAGCACGTGTAGCAGGTTTAGTATCTTTTGTTTGATCCCATGAAAATAAATATGAAATTAACCTATCCTAGGTTTTAGCACGCTAGATTCTTTTGGTGTTGTAGTCCATGCATCTCCTTTTCTTCCTCTTCACCCCTGCTTTTTCGCCTTCCTCTCTTTCCTCTTCCTCCAGACAGCGCAGACGGTCCTGGTGGTGGTGGTGGTATTCGGGATATCTTGGCTGCCACACCACATTATCCATCTCTGGGCTGAATTTGGGGCCTTCCCGCTGACCCCGGCTTCCTTCTTCTTCAGGATCACTGCGCACTGCCTGGCCTACAGCAATTCCTCGGTAAATCCTATCATATATGCATTTCTCTCTGAAAATTTCAGGAAGGCCTATAAGCAAGTGTTCAAGTGCCATATTAAAAGTGAATCACCTCTCAACGAGAACAAAGAAAACAAAAGTCGGATAGACACCCCACCATCAACCAACTGTACTCACGTGTGAAGAAGTCACATGGGGTTTGCCTGCCCAGTTCCCATGCATGTGGCTCATAAGAGGAAATTCAGTGCGCTATTGAGCCATGTTGCAACTTGTTATCCCAATAACAATTCATATTATTTTAGGTACATTCCACTTATGTTACAGGGAACTCTGGTTCGTTTAGGAGATTCCTAGGTCCAGTGAAGATTATTGTTCAGTTTTATTTTATCTCTTACTTATAAATCAGACACAAAAGAAAATGCTGTGTAATTTTATACCTCTTGAGGAGTGAAACCTTCATAGTATTTTATAGATATGTTTAATTCTTTATAGAATAAAAAACAACCACTTAAATATGGTGAGAAATATTTGCAGTGTGCATTTTGAAGCAGATTTATCTAGAAAAAAATTTGTGCTTTAATTCTTCAATGTTAAAAGAGGCAATATTATAAGCTGTGTTTTAAAATACAGTCATGAATACAGAGTGTTAATTTTACTCACCATTTATGTGGAGATACATCTTCTAAGTGAGAAAGAGACTTTCTGCTGTCTGAGTACACAGAGGGCCTCCACTCCCACTTGTAAATAGTGTTCAGAGCTAAGGAAGTCACACGATGTCTGTTTGTGACCTCCAGACTCACGTAGTTCATCTCAGGAGATCAGCACAGGATTGAAGCAGTGACTCTGTCCATTACAACTCCCCTATAAACTTGGACTTTTTGAGGTAACTAAGTGGAGCCAGGGGAAGACCTCAAGAACAACTGTTCTCACTGTAGAAGATGTGGATGAGTTTCTGAGAATAAAACTGGTTATCTTATGTATGTACCTGGCTCAGGTATTAGCTACGCCTTATATGGAACCAACTACCCAACCATATGGAGAGTTTTAAAAAGTCATAAGGATGATGTGTACACAGCAATTTCTATGGAATCAAAGATGGAACAGAATCCAGTAGTCATGTGCGTAACCATCAAGCCATGTGGATAAAGCATTCTAAATGATTGATCTCTTGTGAAAGAATATACTTAGGAATATTCTACCTTGTACAATTAATTAAATTTGTAGTAATGTTTCAATATATGTTTTCCCCGAATAGTCCCTCTGATAATGTTTGTTTGGGGTTAAAACTATCATACTTGAGTTATAAATGTAATTTTCATATTTATGTTTGCAATGAAAAAATGGTATGGAAATATTAAATTACCCTATATTAGGAGAGTTATTTTCAGACTGTAAGACTAATATATTTTAGGAGACAAAAGGAAGAACACTTTGTTTTTATAAAAAGAATTTTGCCTAATGTGTACCAATGCCAGATCAGGACTCCATATAAAATGTCAAATTTTTGTTAAAAACAAATTCAGTGTAAGCCTGAGGCATGTTAACTTTTCTGGCTCATCAATTTATTTTCAGTAACTATACCCGAGTGAATAGTACAGTGTTTACATTTGTATAAATAAAGCCCTGGGCAGAATAAGAGGAAACTGCTAGAACAATGAGAAATTATGAATTTTCATGTTTGTTCCTAGGGAAAGAGGCATTGTATGAGCGTATGTGAGTATTTTAAAGAATATTGTAAGTCTTTTGCATGGAAGTATTTTGTATTTTATGGAAATACAGGAGCAGAAATATTATATCTTGGAAATGATACCTCATGTGATTTGTGGGACTTGAAGCCACCATGCAGATGCTGGAACAGTTTTTTGTATATGAATTCATGGTGTACAAAGACATGCCCCTTGGCTGTGGTTGGACTTGCATGCACAAGCAGGATGATTTTATTTCCATGTTGTCTTCTGTTTTATAGGCACATTAATGGAAGCATTAAAAATATAATGGGTAATGCTTCCTTCCCTTTGCTAGCCGCATTGGGCACATTTATTGCCTCAGCCCTACCCAGATGCTGCTGGCCTGGCAGAGACTAGAGGCACAGCACAGAGGTGACTAGTGGCACTTGCAAGCCCCCAAGTTTGCTAAACATAGATGCACACACTATATTTTATAGTTACATAGGATATTCTTCCTGCATGTTGCTGTGCCAAATTCTATTTAGAATTTAGGTTGAGTCTACTTCTGAGACCAGTTTTGATATTAACAATAGCTTACTTTCTGCTGTGATCTAAAAATACATGAAATGTTCTGAATGGGGTGTAGTAGAGACCCTATGACAGATCACTTACCCAGAGATGTGCAAGCGGAGCGTTTGCCAGGCTTCTGCTTCCAAGGTGGATTTTTCCCTACTATATAGTTCACCATGCCCAGTTCGAAAGCATTCTCCCTTGCCTGACTTAGTGAAGAGGCCTCCTAGACACATGCCTTTTCTCCAGCAGCCAGGCTGAAGGAGAAAAGTTGTGTGTGGCTTTGAAGTCAGGCCGCTGGAGAGCCAGGGTTTTCAGTGTGCTTCAAAGAAAATTGATGCTGTCTCCAGATTTAGCTGCTTTGGTGTCCCAAGGTAGCTGTTATTTTTTTCCTAGGAGTTTTGCTTTTACACTGGGAGATGGGTTCTGAAGCACTTAAATAGCTGATGCTTGCTGCTTCCCATGTGCGAGCAGCAAGTCCAGTTCCCCACCAATGAATACAGTGAGGTGGTCGGAAGTACTTTCTTGTTCTGCTTCCCCAAGAGACATCCTGATAGATGGAGTCTGTGCTATCTTCACCATGTATGTGCTCAGGAATGTGGGATACTGAGGCAACTTTCTGGATGTTTTAGGAAAACTTTGCTTTTAACTAAATTGCTCTATTTTACACATTGAGAGTAGCTTAATCATTTCCTGGCCGCTGGGGTGCCAATCTCTTGTGCTTTTTTTTTTTTAATTTCAACTTACTTCTCTCCAGAATTCCTCCTTCTAATGTTTACCATAGTTAGATTCTTCCTTTGGCTCAGATACAATGAGTTAGAGAGGCAGGGAGAGATGCTGGCTGAATCACATGAGTCATGCACAGCCTCTGACTTCTCATGACTCGTCTTGCAATCCTGAGGTTGAAGATTATTGCCTTTTCTCAGTTCTCTCAGTATCTCTGAGACAGTGCTGTGATAATTCCTCTCTATTAACTGGAACCCAAGATCAGGCTGCTTCTGTGCAGGAGTGGATGGCTTAACCTAAGCATCTGCTTCCTTTCCATATGTGGTTGTGGATACAAGTTGTAAAGTGCTTGTGTGGAAGCAGCATTACATTGTGTAGCTTCATCATGCTCTTGCTTAAAAAGCTTTATTAAATACATGTATATAAATTATATAATCAAGTGAATTGGGCTAAAGCACCAATCTGACTACTTCCTTGGGAAACTCAATATTTGAAATGTGTAAATTTTCATCTACATTATTTGAAAATATTCTCCATGTTGAAAGTGCATTGTAAATAGCTATTTTTAAAAAAAAGAATCACATTCTTATTCGCCATTAAGAATGCTGCATGTTAGGTCTTTCTCAATTAGATGTTAATGACATGTTCAGAAAATAATTTATTTATTTTATGAATAAATATAGAATAAGAGAACATGACCTAAAGTTCTCAGATATTTGTTGACTTGGAAAGTAAACAGTATGAAGTGGTCATTTATCTTATTTTAATTTACAGCGTATATGAATGTTTTCCTTTTTCAGAAGTGGAAAAGTTGAACCTGAAGAACAATTTAAAATGCTCAGACATTTTTTTTTTTTTTGCTATACTGAGGATTGAACTCAGGGATGCTCTATCACTGAAGTGCAACCGTGGTCTTTTCTTTTTTTTATTTTGAGACAAGATCTTACTATGTTGCCTAGGCTGGCTTTGAACTTGTGATCCTCCTGCCTCAGCCTCAGAATATTTGGGATTACAGGTGTGTACTACTGCATCTGGCTGCTTCAGACATCTTTGGTGTGACCTATTTTTAGTAAGATGAGCATATCTAATATTGTATGTTGTAATGTATTAGTTAGGATGTTTTACTCCAATTCCACACTGGGGTTTCTCAGTGTGGCAGGTTCAGCTGCTGTCTTAGGTTTCTGAGGCCAACACATCTATTTACTCTGTGAGATCGGTAGAGCATTACAGGCCCTGGGCATTGGCTTACTTGCAGGGCTTGGTGTAGCTCCTAAGCATTAGCAACCATGTGTACCAAGAGTAGCAAGGTGACTTGTGAGCAGTCTACCTTGTGTATATCGTGGAAATAACCTCAGCTGAATTTTCTCTGTCTCTATTTCAACACTGACACCATTTGCCATAGTGAGACCATGTTTAAGGAGCTAATCATATATCACGAGGTTTTGATGTCACCTTTGGGGTGAAAAGCCTCATCTTTTTGCTGGAGAACAAATTTCTGGATATCTCAAGGTACATTGTGCTGTTTCAAATTTTCAGTTGTCAGAGAAGTCAGATTGAAAAGATAACTGATGTGAATCGGAACTGGGCTCCACCACTTAAATTCTCTAGACTCTTAGGGAATGGCAGTCAGCACAATAACCTACAAACTGGTGTAAGTTTGTGCTCTGTGGGTTTTATATGGAACACTACATTACACTACTGTTTTTCAATACACTGTAAATTGATTATTAAAATTAGACTACCAATGTGCCATCATTCTAGAGATCTCTGTGGCTCTGTCAAGCTCTTTTTGTGTCCTTTAGTGGGCTTATTTTGGGCAGTCAAGGTGCATGTCACATGGTGGATGCTCCTGTAGTTGGGGCTGAGGAAGGGTGGTCTATGCTTGACCTGGGGTGTTGGGCAGTACTTTTTCAGAGCCCCAGGCATGCAGATACAGATAGGAGGTAGGCCCTTCAAGGGTGCATCTGTTTTGTGTGGCCTCCATACTGATGTGCCCCATAAGGGAAGAGGTTTTCTAGTAACTGGACTCAGTATCAGTCAGGAGACTTCTGAAAGATGCCAAAGATGAAACTTGAGGCCTTCAGGATGTTACGGGCTTATGTGGAGTATGAAATGGATCACTAAATTGTTCAGGAAATCAAGAACATTGTTTTATTTGGGCTTGCAGGGCATGGTCCTTGGGCCATAGGCTTCTGTGAACTTCTGTGGGGGCTGTTTACTGCAAAGGGACCACGGGAACTGGATGGACAGAAGCAGCTTCCAGGCTCCTGTTCTCTGATCCAACCAGATGATTTCTGCTTCAGTTGGCCTTTGGATGTCTATGAAATATTCACTGGAAATTCATCCAAGGAATGCATCATCCTCAGTGGTCTTGAATTTTTCTGGTCGTTCCTTCATGAACTATTTCATATGCATTGTCTTTTATTATTTTTCTCTGCTCGTTTCTTACAGTGAGTCACATTTCTATGCTCAGGCTTCCAGTTTCTGACAAAGTCAAGGAGTTCAAGAGGTTTGGCCCACACCCCCTATACCCTCATTATTTTGTCTGAATTTAGGGTTTGTCCTGGCTGTCTTATTAATACTTTTTAAAAAACAGCAAATTGTGAGGAATACAGGCTTCATGAGCAAATTGTTTCTAAAGCAGCCAGTTTCTTCAGAGTTACATGGCAGGACAGCCAAACCTGGCATCATCATCATGAGGCCCTTTGCTGGGGTGCTAGGCCTGGGGGACGCCACACCTCTGAGGATTCATTTCCCCGGAGTGTTGGACATGTGTTGTTTCTTTTTGAAGTGGCAGGATGCAGTGGTCCAAGTTTGCCAACAGGGTGAGTGGAATCCCAACTCCAGAATCAGACTCTGGCTACAGCAGCAGGCTCTTCTGGGACTGCTCCACTGAGTAGCAACCAAGCTGTGCTTCTACCTTGCTAAGGAGACTTGGGTAGGTGAATTGAGCTTCCATCATCCCAGGCTGGAACTCTTCCTGACACATCATTGAGTGAGGGTAATTGTAGGTGGGCCTTGGGGGCACCTAACAACTATGAAAGAAGACACAGAGTCAGAATGCAGAATGGGTGTCCTGTTATTGAATCTGGCAATGCACGTGTCCCTGGTTAAACAAAGTTGCCATTTAGAAATAGCAAAGATCCTAGAAGAGGGGTTGATTTCCAGTGGAAATCTTCCCATCTTGTTGGGAAGGAATCAAATACTAGTTTGCAGCATATTGTCAGGGCCATTCAGCTTTTGACTATGAGAAGGTGTTTTTAAAACTGAAAGCATGTGATTTTTGTTTTGCAGAGAATGTTGCTGGTATGTTGATGTAGCTAATGAGATTTATTTCAAAGTGCAGGCCCAGAATCAGGTAGATAAAAGGAGTTTAGCACCATCTTTAGGCATTTATTTTCTAGTTTCCCACAGCCTCACGAGCTGCAGAGGGACTTTTACCTAGCCTACAAGGATTGGAATAAACAAGGTGCAGGGTTTGAGACATTTTCTAAATAGGGCTAATGTGGATGAAGAGTCAAGCTTGATTTTTTTTCCTGAAATAAAATCAGACTATATTTCAGCCATATTCACAAACTAGAAATGAATATGTGTTATTTTGCATGTTTTGGTTTTCTAGAGTCCTGTTTTATTGTCCATATATTACATAAAGGTTGAAAAGTTGACAATAGGGATAGAAATCCAAAGTTTCTATGAACATGCTGAACAGCTGTAAATTTCTCAGGTTCAGCATGCCTCAGTGAGGATAGTTGTGGTGCATTGCAGGAAGGAAAGTGGACATGAGGATATCTGTATGGTTTAAACTGTTGGAAATTTGCTTGTCTTTTGTATCTTCCTCTATGGAGGAAAAATCTGGAAATGATAAATGACTTCTAAACTGACTGCCTTTGAATGAGCTGGGGTTCGGGTGTGTTTATGAGAGTACCATGCTCAGGTCTCTCCTTTCAGTAGAGCTCCTCAAACCTTATGGAACATCAGAATTACAGAAAGAGCTGGTTAGCACAGACTTCTGGTATACCCTCAGGCTTTATATTGCAGCAGCTTGGAGTGAAGCCCCTAAATGTGCATAGCTAGCTTGCTCTTTGGTTGCTGGTCCAAAGGCCACATGTAGAGAAACAACAGCTGAACTATTGGTTAGAAGGTGAAGGGAGAGCCCACGTGTGTGTGTGTGTGTGTGTGTGTGTGTGTGTGTGTGTATGTGTGTGTGTGTGTGTATGTCTGTGAATTTTAAAGCCTCTACCTGCACTTCTAGAGTTGAAGACTGTTCAGGTGGACATGGGCCTTACAAATGTCAACTTCTATGGTTCTATGAGAAAAAAAGTTTACGTAGGACTTAAATCACCTATATTTTTATTTATATGGACCAGATTCATACTATCTGTTCATTACATTACCTTAGCCACAAAAAAGTTAAGTTTCTAAGAGCATGAAGGGGTTTGCTAACTTACCTATATGCATTTCAGAATTATCACCATGTTTTCTCAAAAAAATAAAACAGCTTGGGGGAAAGAGCAACTATGCATTCCCTTTGTTCCCCTCAAATACAAAAGGTTGAAATAGTATTCAGAATTGTTCTGTGTGAATTTTGGAACTCAGTGTTTTAATTCAATGTTTAAATTAAATATGTATGTCTTTTTATGTGGCTGCTAATTTCTGTCTACATTATTATCTCCAAGAGATAAAGGTAACATTCTATATTCTTAATAAAATAAGCAGTATGAATAAGGAGTAAAGACCTGGGTATACTGTATTTTGATTTTACTGTTGTGATTGTTGAAATGCTGCTATCTAAATACTGCTGGATGTAGGTCTTCTGACGCCTGATGCTGCTGCAATCATTCCCAAAAGAGTTTGCTGTATACTTTATTTCATCTTGTGTTGCTCCAGCACGAATACCAGTAAGTTTACAAAGTCAAAAGCTTGAAATTAAGAATTTATATTAGTCCTTTTAGTACCAAAAGTAGCATTCTGAATCACTCTGCCTCTGTGTTCTGCATGAGATCTGGCTAAGTTCTGTGATTTGAACCAATTTTTCTTTAATGGAAAATAAAAATTGTTCTTCAAAATGTTCTAATTGAAATGTGTACTTTGTTTTCCCAGAAGATATGAAGTAGTGTTGTTTTCTAAGACATTTCTCTAATTATAGGAACATAACACAAAGTTGTTGAATTAAATTAATTTCATCATTATTGCATTCCACTATGGAAAATCTGATGAATCATATTCATAGAGAATTGATTCCTATGTTCGTAAAACTTTTTCTTTTCCTCCTCTATTTTAAAAAACAATAAATTCTCTTGTTTTTTGTATAAGTGAAAAAGAATTACTACAAAATCTTTTAAAGAAGAAACTAAACATTCACCCAAAATTCATTACTAAGAAATCATTACTATCTTCTGAATATTCTCTTAGACATGTCTCCACTGAACAGGAATGGTAACAGGCTAGAAAGACAGATGGAGGGAGGGAGAAGAGCTTTTTATAAAATTGGGGTCATCTACTATGCATATTATTTAAAAT